TGAACATTAACCATTTCCTTTTGATACAATGATGCAGTGTATTCCTTCCATCTTCTCTTGATGCATTCTGCATCATTCAATAATTTGCCCAGAGAATCTTTCAATAACGAAAGTCGAGGCTTGAATTCTGTGTAAGTGCTCTAAATTAAAGCTGATTGAGACCTGGCATTGGGGGATAGTAGTAATAAGGATTAAATGAGTACATTGGATAAAGATTGAGTAAAACTGGTGGGAATTTGTGATGGAGTAGGATGTTGAAGATGAAAGGAAGGATAAAATGACTCAGAATTTTAATCTGGATCACTAAAGAATTCTCTTTTCAGAATCAGGTATGATGATGGAAGACCAAGTTGAAATAGACTTTCAGAGGATGATAAGTAGATACAGTTTTTCATATGTTAAGTTTTAAGATCCATTGGAATGTCAGTATATTAAAATCTGCAGTCTTTTTTTTTTATTATTATTATTATCAGAAAAAAAGAGTCAATGTGTGAATGACCTTATTTATATATAAAAGACTTCATAACATCTGTGGCATTAAAAGGTCATGGAATTTTTCCACAAAGTTTTTGTAGCCCCATCAGATGTTGTAGTAGAGGTACAAGCTGTTTTGGGAGTCAAGTTGCAGGTATTGGTTGGTGGATGTCTAGAATATCTTTTCTTGCCTTCTAGTCTCTCATTCCCAATTTGGCATCACTGAGAATATGAAAGTGTACATTGCTTAGAATTGAAAGCCTCTGAAAGATGATTGCTAATATTACTACAGTGGACCAGGTTAATATTTCCTTAAAAACCAAAATCAAGGCAACAGCGACAATAAACACTATGCTTCTACAGCATTCAAGAACACTAAGCTACACCATGTGACCAAATGCAAACATCTGTTTGCATTTCCTAGCCCCTAAGGATATTTAGCAGTTGTATTCTTTCACCATACTTATTCAACCTGTATGCTGAGCAAATAATAAGAGAAGCTGGGTTCTATGAAGAAAAACGTGACATCAGGATTGGAGGAAGACTCATTAACAACCTGCGATATGCAGATGATACAACCTTGCTTACTGAAAGTGAAGAGGACTTGAA